TCAGCACGGTAGCGGGACTTGCCGAAGGCAGCTGGATACCCCGCTCATCATGTTCACCAACTTGCTGCCACACTGCAAGAGTGGAAATTCCCGCTGTTTGTAATCTCCCCCGATCAACTCACACATGTGCCTGTCCGCGGCAGAAACATAACTTCCATGCGCACGAGCAGCTTGGTGCATGGCTGCAGGGTCCAAATCGTCGAGGTGAAAGGCCGTGGCGTAGAAGAACAGCGCGGCGCATTCATTCAAGTCCCTAGTCTCCTGAGAGGTGAACCCATGACTGACATCTGACCCGCGCAAATCCAGCAACACCAACACCTCCATGCAAGCCAGAGCATATGTTAAACGCTGCAATTTCCCAGTGGCCGTCTCGTCGTGGCTCTGCGAGACCTGCGCATGCCAACCTGCTCGCGAGATGTGCAAATCGTGCAGCACCTCTTGCGCCCTGGCCTGAATGCCCAAACGACTCCGCAAACGGTGCCCCGTGATCTTCGTGTGACTTATTGCCAGAAGCCGTGATATGGATGGTTCACCAGTCTCCAGCGCGTTGGCGTGGACGTCTAGAATTCCGAGGGTGGCCTCTTGAAAACTACGCGTAGTATCTGGCCCGCTGGCACACCTGGCGGGGCTGAATTTGTCTGAGAATAGGATTGCGTCCGTAGCGACACGGCATAGCTTGTTCATGAAACACAAGCGATGCTCCTGCAGGTAACCTAGCCACTGCTCTTGCGCCAGCGTGGAGTGGACACCGACCTCGAAGAGAGTGCGCTGAAGAGGGCTCAGCTCCTCCGAGGTGCCATACTTCTCGAGGTCGTAGAGCACAACGGCGTTGTCGCCGTCGTGCGCGAGCGGGAACTTGTCCCACTGCTGCCACTTGGCTGGCCTGTCATCGCGGAAGAGAAACTGGGCCACCGCCTTCTCGTCCGCGCCATCGAGGGCGATGCGGAGCCGAGAGCGCGCACGGTGCCGCGCAGGCTGAGCAGCCTGGGCGAGCTCGCGGTCCTCCACGAGCAGCCTGTACTCCTCGTCCCCCCTCGGCACGGTGCACCACTCGTAGCCCACGTAATGCTTCCTGGTCGTGACGCCATTTCCGCAGCCGTGCCCCCCTGGCACGCTCGGGCGTGGCAGCATGCCGTGCGCTGCCTGGTGGGGTTTGAGCGGGTCTTCTAAGCCCCCCCTTCGTTGGACGAAGACATACCCCAGCATACACAGGAAAACATTAGCCTGGTGAAGAACCCAACCATTATGCAATTGTGAATACCGCAGTTGTGGGTATCGTCTCCCGTGGAGCTCACTATGGGCTACGAAACGCCGTCCTCGGCGGGGGGGACGCATGCGAACTGCGCCACTGGGACCACGAAACGCTGTACTGGGTGGGGGGGGCGCATGCGGACTGCGCCACTGGGACCTTCGGTGGAGCTCCCACTGGGGCCACGAAACGCTGTACTGGGTGGGGGGGACGCATGCGGACTGCGCCACTGGGACCTTCGGTGGAGTTCCCTCCGGGGCCTCCCTCCCTGGCGCGCGGAGCGCGCCAAGGGCTTTAGCGCGGATCGAAGAACCCCGCGCAGAGCGCCAACAGTTTATGTTTATGCCGTTGTTCTTCTTCGACCCCTTCTGGGAGGCCCAGGGTTTGAGCAAGTCTTCTAAGCCCCCCCCTTCTCTTCACGTCCAATTGCGTGTATCGCCCCCTGGGCCGGAGGAAGAGTTGGACGAGGAGGCGGAGGAGGAGGATGAGGAGGGGGAAGAAGAGGAGGGGGAGGAGGAGGAGGATGAGGAGGAGAAGGAGGAGGAGGAGGAGGAGGAGGCTGAGAAGGAGGAGGAGGGGGAGGAGGAAAGGGAGGAAGAGGAGGAGGAGGAGGATAAGTGGAAACCCAAGAGTCATCAACGCTGTTGGAATTAACCCTCCCTCCAAGCTCCCTCCTCGTAGGCCCCATACAACGGTTCATTTCCATTGAGGGAACTGCCTCGTTGGAAGACAGCAGTTTGAAGATCCTGAAGCGTGCCAACACATATGTCTCTAGATTTCAACGCCACGTATCAACCTAACTGCTGCGTCTTGACGATCCAGAACTGTGTCAGCACGCCGTTTTTTAGGACTTCAACACAGCGAATCAACATAACTGCTGCGCCCGCATAATCCGAATTTCTTCCAAAACGCAATGTCTAGTACGCTGATCATGAGAGCCCGTGAAACTCGTGCAACTGTAAAGAAGGAGTGTGCGCGGCACTAAGTCGAGAGCCACATTTTGAACACCACCCGCCCTAAATCCGTGAAGCTCTTGCACCTTTTTAAAACGAATGTGCGCGGCGCTAAAGCGAGAACCACATTTTGAAAAAGGAACCGCCCTCAATCTGTGAAACTCTTGCAACTTTCTTTAAACGAATGTGTGCGGCGCTAAGGCGAGAACCACATTTTGAAAACCACCCGCCTTCAATGTGTGAAACTCTTTCAAATTTGTAAAACGAATGCGCGCGGCGCCAAGGCGAGAGCCACACTTTGAAAGCGACCCGCCCTCCATCTGTCACTTTTTAAGCTTCAGAGTCATTAATGTTGAGGAAGTCTCAGGCGAAGCGCGCGGCCCGCCCTAACAACTGGCCTCGGGGTCCGATAGGGAGGAGTTATCTAGAAGGAGAAAGAATGGAGGCGGAGGAGGCGGAGGATGCGGAGGAGGAGGAGGAGGAGGAGGAGGAGGAGGAGAAGGAGGAGGAGGAGGAGGAGGAGGAGGAGGAGGAGGAGTAGGAGTAGGAGTAGGAGTCAAGCTAGCCAGCTCGAGCGAGTCAAGCATGGCATGCCCAGTCCCACCCGCCCTCCCACAACATAAGAAGCAAAGCTGGCACAACTGGGGGCCGAAGTCACACCGGCCAGCCGGTTTGGTACAGCTGATGCGGCCGCGATGGCGGTTGCCGACGGGAACTGGCGAGCGCGTGTTGAATGCCGCGCACGCATTGCCAGACGAGTCGAGAATGGCCCGGTACACCGCAGGAAGCCAGAGGTGGCCGGAGGAAGCCCGACGGTCTGACAGGACACCCCAAAGCATTTTTGTGAAAAAGCATTGGGTTTTTGATGTTTTTATGTTGAAATGCTTGCAAACACACGGTGTTCGGTAGGATTCTGACATGAACGCGCGAGTGTGCTCTTTGTTGTATTTTTTGTACAGGATTCGCGGCCTGGGTGCATGACAGAGCATCGCGAGTGCACCGCGCGATGACGTGAAATCGCTGGATTTGACAGAATTCTTAAGATTCCCATGGTTTTCCTATGATTTCAACAAGAGAGCCCGGGCGGGAAGTTTGTACAATTTTTGTGAAAAAGCATGGGGTTTTTGATGTTTTTATGTTGAAATGCTTGCAAACACACGGTGTTCGGTAGGATTCTGACATGAACGCGCGCGTGTGCTCTTTGTGGTATTTTTTGCAATGGATTATCGCCGTGGACGACAGGACGTCCATGTCGAGAGGAAAAAATAAGAAAAATGTTGATTTTGTATTGTTTTTTACAGGTTAGGATGGGACCACCCGGATGCGGCCCCTATCTGCCGGCCTGAGGGGGGAGTAGGAGTATATTCTAATAAGGAATAAGGATAGGAGGAGGAGGAGGAGGAGGAGGAGGAGGAGGAGGAGGAGGAGGAGGAGGAGGAGGAGGAGGAGGAGGAAGGAGGAGAGGAGGAGGAGGAGGAGGAGGGAGGAGGAGGAGGCTTAGGAGGAGGCTGAGGAGGAGGGGGAGGAGACCCCCCACGCCTCCCGAGGCTCCCTGGGCCGCCCCGATGTCTCCCTGGCGCTCGCCGGAGCTCTCTCTCCGAGGCCTGCACGACGGCCGGCGGCGGCCACCACTGCCGCCAGTACAGTACACACCGGTCGGAAGAAGTGGGGCTTCGGTAGTCTTCGCAGTGCCCTCCTCCCGTCCTTGCTAGCGTCCAGCCGCGTGTGCAGCGCCCCGCCCTCCCGTGGCCACGGTGTCCCTCGCAACAACAAAAGAGCGATGGATCCGCGCTTCTGGGGCCACGGCCCCTGGGACAAACACGATGGATCCGCGCTCCCGAGCTTCCAAGACGGCCGGGGTACACATCGGTCGGAAGAAGTAGGTAAAAACATTAAGTAGGAAGGCGGATAAAGTAGACAGGGTTCAGGCTCTCTCAGAGAATAACGAACACAGCGAAAGCAGATCGACTCTCGAAGCAGGAAGGCGCTTGAAATATATTGGGATCTGGGAATTCCAGAATACCTACTTTCAACGACCGGTGAGTAGGGGCTCGACTACAAGAAACCTTCCACAAGAAACCCGACCCTGAGACCCCAGGACGTCCACGGATTTTTGGTGTGGGAGCGCCACGCTTTCCATAGCAAGACCATCGACACCCAACAAACCCAGGGCTCCCTGGAGGCGAGCAGGGTGTCTCTTGGCATGGGTCTCCACTGCATGGCACAAAGTTGCCCCAAGAGGCACCCAGCAGCTCCCAAGCTGCGCCGAACAATCCCAAGAGGCCTCCAACTAGACACCACCAAGACGTTCTCCACGAGAGCCTCGAGATGCCAAACACACTGTTGCTCCCATAATGCTCTTCAAACCTCTTTTCGCTTTGCACGCTCTTCGATCGAGCATCGGTCCATTTGCGGTCTTCGAAAACACCAGATGCCCACTGAGAGCCCCAAGTCGGCCCAGGACGTTCCCACGAAAGCCCCAAGCTGGCCCCAAAGGACCACTGGAGGGACCCAAGACGGCCAAAGAGGGCCCCTGGACCGCCCAAGACGGACGGCCCAAACAGACCCCACAGACGGCCCCAAGACGACCCAGCAGGACACTAAGACGGCCCCAAGGAACCCGCAAGACCGCCCCACAGGTGCCCAAGGTAGCCCCAGGGCGGCTCAATGAACCCCTATCAGAGCTCCCCAAGAAGATGAGACGCAAGGTGTCACATGTGACGGCCTTCTAGGCAGTCATCGAAGGGTGGCCACAGAGAGTGCTTCGTTGGCACGGTGGCGGATTTGTCGCAGGCAGCTGGATATCTTTGTCGATTCGTCCTTCTCAATGGGCTGTGCGTCTGCGAGCTGGAAGCCACCGTAGCGCGGGGCAACTGCGTGCTCCAACAGGTGGAACTCAGCCAGCATTCTCCGCATCACGAAAAAGTCATCGCTGATGCCCACTGGCTCTATCTTCATTTTCTGCGACAGAACGCAGGCCGCGGCCCGCGCAGGCTCATCGACACACTGCGAGATTGATCTACACACGTCGCACGTACCCGCCAATCTGAAGCCTCTCTGGCCCTTGGCTTGGCCGAGGAAATCAATGACGTAGCGCTCGGCTGACTTGAAGTTCCAATTCGTCGACGTCTTCTGCCAACTTTCCGAAAGCTTTTTCCCGACGTTCCCGTCAGGGCCCCGCTCGGTCCCCTCCATGTTTTTCAGCTGAACGCCGCTTGTGGGCATGTGCAAGTACGCGCTGCACAACATCTTCAACTTATTGCGAGGCGTCGATTCCGCTTCCTCCTTCTCCGCAGCGGCCACGACATACAAGTACTCCTCGCCGTGCGGCTCTGGCAACGGAATCTGGCCCGTGGACCCGTACAGAAGATTCTGGGCCGTCTCGACGGGCTCCATTTGCAGCGAGAGAGTGCTGAACTGCTCCAGGCTGGGGGCGCCATGAAGCTCAGTCCGCAGCCTGAGCTTGTCGGCGCTGGCCGCAGCCTCGTGATACGCAAGGATCAGCTTCCGAAGCGCCAGGATGTGGTCGGCCGCGGGCTGGGTGGCCCCAAAGCGGCGCACCTGGTCCGCCAGCTGGAAGAACGTGGAGGAGAGCCACCGCTGTTGCCCAGAAGGAAGCTGCTCGAAATTCAGTGCCAAAAGACGGCCGGCTAACCAGTCGACGTACGTCTCGCCAAAGCACCGGTCGATCACATCCAGCGACATCTCGGCGATCGCCTGCAACTGCTTCTCGGGTGCGGCGCGCAGCTCTGGGGTCAGCGCCGAGGGGAAAAAACTGCACGTCCTTGAGGGGTAGCGTTAGATCGGGCATGTCTTCCTGCAGGCGGACTTTGAACGAAAAATGTAAAAAGGCGAACATACGTACAAACATAATCGAAACGAATCGAAAAGGCCCCCCCCCCCAGACTAATTTTGTTGCCTTAATTTGAATATTATCATCCTTTAGTGGGACATGCCCGACTTAAAAATGTTGTCCCAAACCAACAGCGGCCGCTGTTGGGCAGGCGGCCTCCTGTCTCGAATAGACACAGGCCGCGGCGGCGTGGACCGCGAATCCTGTTCAAAATGAGCAGGAACTGCTGTTGGGCATCGTACCCATTCTTTCCGTGCCCATTTCGGGCGTCCAGATTAAGGGGAGCGAGAGCGGGGGAGCGGCTCCGAGAGAGGAAGCGTCGATCTGGAATCGGCGGAGCATTGCCGATGGATCGGCGACGTGCTCCCCACAGCGAAGCAACCCGCTCCCGGGCGGGGTGAGATGGGCGAGCTGGGGTGGATGTTCCCTACCCTGGGCCAGTCTTCCTTCAGGCGGGTTTTGGAAGACGCATACACAATAGTTTTGACAGATTCAAGAGAATCCAGAATCTGCTCCCCATAGCGAAACCACACGCTCCTGGGCGGGGTGAGATGGGCGAGTGGGGGTTGATGTTCCCTGCCCTGGGCCAGTCTTCCTGCAGGCGGATTTTGGAAGACACGTAAACAATAGTTTTGACACATTCAAGAAAATCCAAAGTCATCGAAACATCGTCCCCGTACCATTTTCTACTATTCTCGAGTGTTCTCTCTTCAGAGGGACATGCCCGACTTAAGGCCAATCCCGCCCTGTCGCAGCCCCTGAATCCTCTCTGAGGCTGGCACGTTCGTGCCGCGCTCGATCAGGGGCTGCTCGAAGCTCGTCTCCTCGAAGGACTGGCTTGCGGCCTCCCCTGTGCCGAACGTGTCGTGCAAATCTCTCGGCACGGGCGTGGGGTCCCTGCGGATCCATTCGAAGAATGGCTTTGCTACGCGGTTCGTTAAGCTGTCCTTCTCGTCGTGCATAAGGACCTGCCGCGCAGCCGTCTCCAGCAAGTTCTTTCTGCGTGCCAGCTGGTAGAAAGATGCCGCGGGAATGGGCAACGGGCCGTTCTCGTCGCCGTCCTTGGAGGCAGAGAAACGCACACGCATACAGTAGGAGCCCGACCACAAGGAACCTTCCACAAGAAACCCAACACTGAGACCCCAGGACGTCCATTAGTTGTTGGTGTGGGAACGTCACGCTTTCCATCGCAAAACGATCGAAACCCAAGAAACCCAGGGCACCCTGGAGGCGAGCACAGTGCCTCTTGGTATGGGTTTCCACTGTAAGCTTTCAGAGGTCCGCGCGGATTTCTTGGATCTGAGCTTGGCTCCCTTCCCTGGTGTGCGGAGCGCGCCATGCGCCGCGCCATGCGCCGGGGGCTCCGCCAGGGGGGGCCCAGCGCCGATCCGAGAAATCTGCGCGGATCCCCGAACGCCTCAAGAAAACATACTGTATAGATAGCTGTGGAATAAAACAAACGAGCGTTTCTCTCCCTCGAATCCTTGAAGTCCTCCAGCGATGGCAGCACGTCCTCCACCCTCTTCTTGAGAGCCTCGCGGGAGAACCAGGTCAGCGCGGACAGCTGCAGCGCGTGCTCGATGGTCCGCCCCACGTCCTCGATGGGGGAGCGTCAGGGGGGGGACATCAGCTCCGCGGGGGGAAGCACCGAGCTGCAACCAGCGATACGTCGCCGACAGATCGGCGGTCGGCCCCCGACAGCGAACCCGCACGCCCCTGGGCGGGGTGGATCTCGGCGATGAGTGGGCGACCGAGGGTCGATGTGTTGCTCCCTGCGCCTCTCCCCGCCCAGCTTCGCCCTCTGAGTCCTCCTGCTCGTCGGGGGGTATCCGCTCCCTCAGCTTGAAGTGCACCATGTGATGCAGGCCGGTGACCATGCATGTCCCGCCAGCCTCAATTAGATGAAGAGAGAGAGGCAGAAGCATAAACTTTCGGCGGCCCGCGCTGATTTCTCGGAATGGCGCTGGACACTCTTGGCGGCGCCTCCGGCGCCACCCTTGGCGCGCTCCGCGAGCCAGAGTGGGCGGTTTAATGCCGATCCAAGAAATGCGCGCAGACCTCCGAAGACGTATTCCCAACCCTCCCGTGTGTCTAGTCCTCGTTTTGACTCCGCAGCGCCGATCGTCTTCTCTCCTTCTCGCCGCCCTCTTCTCCTCTTCCTCCTCACTCCTCTCTCCACTTCCTCACTCTCCTCTTCTCTTTCCCCATCACCACCACCACCATTATCATCATCACAATCTCCATCTTATTTATTCTTTTCTTCTTTGCCATCATCACCACCATCATCATTACCACCACCATCATACCATCACCATCATCATTATCACCATCATCATCATCATCATCACCACCACCATCACCACCATCACCATCATCATCAGGGACTTCCACCGGAGCCCCCCGCGGCTGGGATCACACGGTGCCCACCCTCACTTCGGCACACCACTCACCCGTTTCGTGGCCCGCCCCACAGGGAGCTGCACCGAAGGCCCCAACGGCTGGATTCGCATAGGTGGCCCGCCCCCTTTCGGCAGACCCTTCGTACGTTTCGTGGCCCCGTAGGGAGCTCCACCGAAGGGCCTAATGGCTGGGTTCGTGGCACGGACTCGGTTTGCCGGAGTCTCGGTACGTGGGGGTTCGGTTCGCCGGGGCTTGGTTCGCCAAGGCTTGGTTCGCCGGGGCTCGCTTCGCCGGGGCTTGGTTCGCCCGACTCGATTCGCCCAGCTCGGTTCGCGGGACTCGGTTCGCCAGGGCTCGGTTCGCTCGATTCGGTTCGCTGGGGCTCGTTTAGCCAAGGCTCGTTTCGCCGAGGCTCGTTGCGCTGGGGCTCGTTTTGTTGAGGCTGGTTTCGCCAAGGCTCGCTTCGCTGGGCGGGCGGGCCCGAACGGGCGGGTCGGGCCGGGCGGACGGACCCCAACGGGCGGATCGGGTCGGGCGGGCGGGACATGAAAGTACGATGCGTCATCGAGGCGGCGCGCGCGAACCCTAACGGGCGGGTCGGGTCGGGCGGGCGGGCCCTGGCGGGCGGGTCGGGTCGGGCGGAAGGAGCCTAACGGGCGGGCCGGGCGGGCGGAGCTGGGCGAATTGAGCAGGGCGAGGTGAGCCTGGGCGAATCGAGCCCGGGCGAACTAAGCCAGGCGAATCAAGCCAGGCGAATCAAGCCGTGCGAATCGAGCCAGGCGAAGTGGGACTCGGGTGAACTGAGCCTGGGCGAATCGAGCCTCGGGCGCATCGAGCCCTGGCGAATCGAGCCGGGCGAATAGAGTCCTGGCGGATCGAGACTCGGGCGAAGCGAGCCTAGCCGACACGCGTCAACAGAGGTTGGGTTCTTCGCCAGGGTCATGCTTATGCGTTTTTCCTACTTCGATGGCTGCGGGAACAACTTTTCCTCATCCTCTTCCTCCTTCTTGCTTCCCTTCCTCCGTCCTGCTCCCCTGGCCTGGCTGTCCATCATCACAGTAGTGGAGCGCACCTCGTCGAGCCAGGGGTCCAAGCGGCCGAGGGCTGTCTCGTACATGCTCTCGGGGCTAGACGTGACCTTGCCCCCGTCGATTGAAGTGTACGTGCTCCCCATTTCGATGATCAGCCGCACCTGTGTTGGGTGGAGCAGCACGTCCTCAGGCACGGACGAATAGATCAACGTCGGCGAATACTTCCGGGCGAAGCCGTCGTGGCTGATAGAATAGTGAAAGCCCGCACCGTCACCGCTGTTGAAGATACTCAACGTGTACAGCCTCGCGCCATCGGAGCCCCCCTCACGCGCTATCTCGCAGTACACCGCGTGCCCTGTCCTAGGGGAGCTGAGGAGGCATGTGTCGAACGCCCCCCCGCTTTCCCCCCCCCCCCCCCCCCCCCCCCCCATCTGGCGGAAGAGGAGAAAGGAGAGGAAAGAGGAGGAGGACAAGCTAGGTGCGCTCGCGTCATATCTGACATCCTACCCCTCCCTCCCATCCCTTACCATGGCGTAGATCCCCTCTCTACTCGCACAGTCGGATGTCGAGCAGGGCAATGATCCCGAAAGGGTACGCGATGCATTGTAGAGCACGGCATGGCATGGCGTAGAAGAGCACCGCAAAGCGTAGTATGTCACAGCATGGCGTGGCGTGGCGTAGTGAATAATTGCATCACACAGCTTTGCAACGCAAAGCATGGCATCGCACAGCGGCCCCGAACATAAAATTGCATAGCATGGCGTTGAAGATCAAAGCGTAGCATGGCATAGCACGACGTGGCACTGAAGCACTGCATATCACAGCTTCAGCTGAAGGCATGGCATCGCGCAACGGAACGCAACCTAGCATTGCATTGCATGCCGTGGCATGGCACGGGAAATGACGCCAGCGCTGCAGCGGGAGCACGATTCGGAACGAGCGGAAGCGCGGAAATGAGGCCAGCGCTGCAGCGGGAGCACGATTCGGAACGAGCGGAAGCACGGAAATGAGGCCAGCGCTGCAGCGGGAGCACGATTCGGAACGAGCGGGGCCCGAAAATGAGGCCGGCGCCTCAGCGAGAGCAGCATTTTGGAAAAAATGCAGGCGAAAACCCAACTCCGGGGAATCCTGTGTGTAAAAAACAATACGCGGGGGGGGGGGGGGGCGAACACTCCCAACCCGTCATCAGGGGAAGGAGGAGAGTAGTATTCATATTGAGTAATTGTGGAGGAGGGGAGAAAGGGAAACGACGTGCTGTATGTGGCCCGTTCCAGAAATCCTGGAGCCAAAGCTGGTAAGACGCCTCTTTGGGGGGGCGACCCGGACTTCCGCGTCAGCGGAGCCGCTCTCGTTTCTTACCTCCGCGGGCGCCTCCCCCGAGGAAGAGGCGCCGAACTCCTTGACTGCACGGTCTCCCCGGGGGCCGTAGGCGACCCGAGGAGGAGGAGGAGGAGGAGGAGGAGGAGGAGGAGGAGAAGGAGGAGGAGGAGAAGGAGGAGGAGGAGGAGGAGGAGGAGGAGGAGGAGGAGCAGGAGGAGGAGGAGGAGGAAGGGTCGCCTACGCCCTTCGGAGAAACCCTCTATCCTTGCCATCGCTCGGAAGTCCATCCCTCGTGCACTTGCTCGGCCTCGTGCGCTTCTTTTTTGTCGCAACAGTGAAACAGAGATGCTCCTCGAAGGTCCCCGCCAAGAAAACACCCAGACATCCGGACGCTTGGTGCGCGGGCCCCAGGTCTGGGCCACTTCCTTAGGTCCAGTTTTTCGTCCTAAGTCGTTGTTTGACAATCCCGAGGCCTGGCGAGGGCCCCCGGAGGCCGAAAATAACCCAAATCCCGCCGCCCCAATTTTTTGGGAGCGTCGGATCTCTGGGCAAGCACACGTCCGAGCGATGCCAACATTCTCGGTCCCCTCGAAAGCGAGGCCCCTTTGGGAGCGCACCGCGCAAGGCGTGCAGGTGCACGGCTGGCTCTGATGGCCCACGACCGCGCCAGCCTTGCGACCTCCTGGAATATCCGCCCCCAGGCACGCCAACTCTCATGGGCAGGGTTTCTGAATGGGCTGGCGGGGATGCGCGAAGCGTGAATATGTGAAGCATCCACAGGAGCTCTGGACCCCATCTTCTTGCTGCACTCTTCGAGTCGGATCGATCTATGAGGGCCCCAGGAGGGTTGCAACCAAGCGAAAACGCGCGGCTCGACAAACATGAGACGCCAGCCCAGACATGCGACGCCCTGATCTTTTCAGCACGGGGTCCCTGGAAGTCCCTACCCTGGACTAATTTTGCATCCCGATTCGTTCTTTGACGGTCCCAGGGCCCGGCGAGGGCCTCCGGAGGCCGAAAACGGCCCGAAACCTCTCGTCCTGACTTTTTCACGACGCGAGCATGTCTGGGAGGATCTCAAGGCTTCCTCCCGACGCGAAAAGGCCTCCGAGGCCTCGATTGTTTCGATGCGGGGCCCCCGGAAGTCCCGACCCTTTAGGAGAAGGAGGAGGAGGAGGAGGAGGAGGAGGAGGAGGAGGAGGAGGAGGAGGAGGAGGAGGAGGAGGAGGAGGAGTCCCAGGGCCGATTTTTCGTTCCGAGTCGTTCTTGCGCGGTCCCAGTGCCAGGCGAGGCCCCCTCCCCCCCCCGGAGGCCGAAGATAAGGAACCAAGCTGTCCGTCCCCTGCGATCCGACGTCTCGCCTTGCCTGTGTTCATGACCTCCCCAAAAAGAATTATGTTTCTACGTTTTTCTATAACCCTGCCCCTTGCGCGCTGGCCAAGGGTCCACTCGCGAGACCCACGGGCCAAATTTCGAGCGCACGCCACATTCGCGGGTTCTGCGGTGCACTGCGTTTTTCGCGACGCGAAAAATCCCACCAGCCCTTTTGGGCCCCTTTGGGCAAAGGTGGTCTAGCGAGTTCTTCCTTTCCTCAATGCCCTCGTCCCTCTGGGGAGGGGTGCACCTCCCCTCCCCTCACTGAGGCTTTTCAGGAGGGTTTCGATGTGTTCGAGGGGGTCCTTTTCGCCCAGGGT